GAGTAAGTATAAAAACTGGGTTTTGCTAGTTAATTTTATATATTTTAAGGTATCGGCCATTCAAAAGAATTTTAATATACTATACAATTACTCATAAAAGTAAAATGTATGACCAGAATAAGGCACTAGTTAGGAAGAAAGAAACAGAAGTATATTATCAGAAAATTCCTATACAAGACAGGAAATAGTATAACATTACCCTTATATATACAAATTTTTGTATAATTTATGGCCCACAGGAGGAAAAGTAGAAATCAATAGGAACTAACTTGGATGTCCAAATACTGGACTTACTAGACAGACTTTAAATCAGCCATTTTAAATAAGACCAAAAAAAAAAAGGAGAGGAAGTCATGACTGAAGAACTAAAGGAAACGTATGTACCTGAAAATAGAATATTAGAGAAATTATAAAAGGGAACCAAACAGAAATCTTGGAGTTGGAAAATATGAAAGACTCAGAAGAGGGGGTCAGCACAAGATCTGAGTAGACAGAAGAAAGACTCAATGAAGTTTCAGGTAGGTCAATTAAGATGATCAGTCTGAGGAACAGAAAGAAAAAAGAATAAAGAAAAATGAACAAATTATCAGAGACCTATGGGACATCACCAAGCATATCAATAAATCCATATTGGGAGTACCAGCAGAGGAAAGAAAGAATGCTTAATTAGCCAAATATTCCACAAATTTGATTAAAAGCATTAAATCTGCAGATCTAAGAAACTCATCAGAAGCCATGGAGGCCAGAAGCAACGGAAGATAAATCCAAAGTGCTGAGTAAAAAGGACTGTCACCCAAGAAATGCTATATCCAGCAAAACTAGTCTTCAAAAGTGAAAGAAAAAAAATGAGAGAACTCATCACTAGCGAGGTCATATACAAGAACTATTAAACAGATTCAGCCATTCGGGCTGAAGTAACAGGAACCAAAAACTAAATCCAGATTAAAGAATGAAGGTCACTACATGGTAAATGGAAAACAGTATAATTTTTTCTATCTGATTTAAAACATTACTGCCTATATTATAACTATGTACCTATGTTAATGGGCACATAATGTATAAAGATGTAATTTATAATAGCTAAAGAAGGGAAAGGGAACAGTTATATAACACAAAGTTGTATGTACTATTGACCTGAGCTTGTATTGCTCAATCTACATTGTTGTAAATTAATTGTAATTGTAGGGGAAAGAGAATCTACAAAATCCCATAAACAATATCATACTTAATGATGAAAGACTGACTTAATCCATCTTTCCAATACCAAGGATATCTACTTTTGACTATTCTATTCAACACTGTATTATAGGTTTTAGTTGGGGTGATGAGGAAATAAAAAGAAAGAAAAGCTGCCTAGACTGGAAAAAGAAGAAAAGCTATTTCTATTTGCAAATGACATGATGCACGATCTAGAAAATCCTAACCATTCATTAAAAACAAGTAAATTCAGCTAGACTGCAAATTATATTAATTATTAAATTAATTTTTTAAATTTGTTGCTCCTGTATACAAAAGTAATAAATAACCCAAAACCAAAAATTAATACCAAAAAATTCATTTATAATACTAAAATATTTAGATATTAATTTATCAAAGTGTAATAGGATAGGATTTTTCAAAATATAAGACTTATACATTGAAAATTACAGCTATTACTGGTGTAAATGAAGGAGATCGAAGTAAGGAGAAAGCTAGAAAGCTACCCCAAATGCTTGGATTGGAAGACTTAAAGTTACTAAGGCAGTAACATTCTCAAAACTGATATACAGATTCAATGTAATCCTTGCCAAATCCCAACTGGCATTTTTGCAGAAACTGACAAACTAATCCTGAAATTCACATGGAAATGCAAGGAAACTAGAATAAGCAATATAACCTTAAAAAAGAAAAAAGTTTGAGAAATCACATTTCCCAATTTCAATTTACTATACAAAGATGCAGTAATGAAACAGCATTGTAGTAAACAGAATTGAAAGTCACAAAATAAACCCTTATATTTACAGACAACTGTTTTTTTTAAATAATATAATTTTTTTTACATCATTTTGAACATTTTTTTTCATCTCAGTTGCAATCCTCTTGGGTTTCCCAACACCAAGTCACCCCATGTGCCATCACCACAGTCCAGCGCACTTCCCTCCCCCCACTGTTTTTGATCCCATTCCCCACTCCATACCCATAAAATTTCTCTGGTATACAGACAACTGGCTTGTCACAAGAGTTCCAAGCCCATCAAATAGCTCAAGGTTGATATTTTCAACAAATAGCGTACATCTACATGTGAAAGAATAAAGGTGGAGTTCCTCCCTGGTGGCACAGTGGATTGGAGCACAGCATTGCGAAGTCAAGCCATGTGAGTTCGAGCTCCGCCTGGAGGTGACCCACATAGCATGGCAGACCTCTTCTGTCTCGCCTGCTGCTCCCCTCAGCAGTGGACTTCGTCGATCTGCCCGTTCTGCTCCCCACTCTGTCTCTGGTGAAGCCTCTCTCACCCCCTCACCTTTGGCCTGCACCCCAGTTCTGTATGCATAAATAAATAAAATCTTAAAGAAAAGAAAAGAGGTGGAACCAGACCTCATACCATACACACAAATTAACTCAAAATGGATCACAGCACTAAGTATAAGAGGTGAAACTCAGAAGAAACAACTGAAAAAAGTCTGTGACCTTGGGTTAGACAAAACGTACTGAGACACAACACTAAAAGTATAAACTATAAAATAAAAAATAGATCAGGTGTACTTAATCAAATTTAAAATTTCTGTCTATGATAATATCAAGGACATAAAAAGATATAGGATATATATAGGATTGGGAAAAAATATTTGCAAATCATAGATCTGATAAGGGACTTGTAGCCAGAATAAAGAATTCTGATGGCTAAAAAAAAAAAAAAAAAAAGACAAATTATCCAATTTTTAAAAAGATAAATTACTTAAATATACTTTTTTGCAAGAAAAATATACAAATGGCTAAGGATATTATTAGTCATCAGGAAAATGCAAATCAAAAGTGAGATACTACTTCACACCCACTGGAATGGCTAGAAAGAAAAGACAGAAACTTTCTGAGATTCACAAACCGAGCCCCCCACTGCCCCCAACACACTGCCGGCAGGAACTTTCTACCTATTTTCTAGAGATGTGAAAACATATCCACCTAAAGTTATCCATACAGATTTTACTGTACCCCCAAAGTGGAGACAGCCCAAATGCCCACCGATGAATAAATGGAGAAGCAAAACGTGATATATCCACTGTGGAATATTGTTCACACAGAAAAAGGAAGCAGGTACTGATACATACTAGAACTTGGACAAACCTTGAAAACATTATACTAAGTGAAACAAGTCAAATTCAAATGCTCACATACATGACTCCTTTTGGGTGATCTGTCCAGATTAGGCAGACCCACAAAACAGTGAGAGGTTTCCGGGGTAGAGGGACCAGGGAGTGCTTACTTAGTGGGTATGGGAGGGCGGTTTGTGGGACCAGGAAAAGGCCTGAAACCAGAGAGCTGGTGGTCACACAACACTGTAAAGACACTAAATACCACTGAGTTAGATACTTTAAAATTGTTAGCTGTATGTTACGTGAACTTCATATCGATAAAAAATAAAATTTAACTTGGAAGGAAAAAATGCATAGGTCCATACAAAGATTTATACACAAATATTCATAACTTCATTTTCAACTGCCAGAAACTGGAAACAACCCGAATGTCAACGAGCAAGTGAACAAAAAATGTTGTATCGCTAAACAATGGCAGTAAGAGGGAATCCGGCTACACTACTGGCCACAAAAAGGAATGAACCGTGTAACAGCATGATGAACATCAAAGTAATCAAGCTGTTTAAAAAAGCCAAACTATAAATATACTTTATAATTCCATTTCTATAAAATTTTAGACAACACAAACGGCCCTACGGCACGAAAGAGGGCCAGTGGCTGCTGCAGACTGCAGGCGTGGGGACGAGTCGCCAAGAGGACGGGGTGAGGAACTGGTGTGCAGTGACGGCCGTGCTCATTACCCGGAACATCTCTGTCAAAACGCCGTGCACACTTAACAGCGCAGCTTCCTGCACGCCAGTTACACCTTAATGAAGTGCTTCTTTTGAACAGGCGGGAAGGGCAAACCATGGACTCTGCTCGCCTCCCCACAAGGATAAGCAGTTTTAAAGCCGCTTCACTGCATGGAGTGTAGACAACGCTTGACAAAATGAAACACAGAAAACCAAAAAAATCGCATAAATTTGAATCATTATAAACTTAAAAATATTTCCATTAATGGAATCCTCCATTTTTGATGCCCAGGCTTCATTTTTGATTGGTCTTCAATGAGTAGTGCTAGGAACCCTCCTGTCCTGACCAATTAACGTGGTCTGTGAATGCGCGCTTAGCTACACCAAGAAAGCCCCACAAGAAAATCCTAGCGAGGTTCCTGAAAGCTGAACAGCACCTCAAAGGTGAAATAATAAGCAAAAAGGCAGCTATCAGCTATATGAATCACCCTTTAAGAGTCCCCAGATTTTAGATACTCAGATTTTGTAGCTATTTAACTCTAATAAATAAAAATTATTCCAAAACTTACCTACTTCCTACAAAGCTAGAAAAGCTTTAAGGTTAAAAATTCTAAACTGGACCTTTCCTTCCCACTGTCTTAAACAGGAATAAAAAGGCACAATCTACTTACTAGTGGGGAAGAATTATGAAAATGGGAGTGAAGTTCAGACGATCAGAACTATTTATATGCGTCTTTAGGCCAGATGCGGTAATTCAAGCTACCATCCCCTCTTACCTTCCACTACAGCAGTAGCTTTTACTTTTTTAATTCTCTGCATTTTATATATGGTGAGTTTCATTTCTTCATCTATTAAATGGTCACAGTGACACTTTTCAGCTGCATGAGGCTACGTCAGGATGACATGAGAATACAGGCATAGCACTCCCGCTGTTCCTGGCACATGAAAAGGGCTCCAAAACGGTACCTATTGATGTTACCTGAATAAAGGTTCAGCCTCCATGAGTCCCGTGCTGGAACGGCATCACACAAGAAGTAAGTCTAACCTCAAAAAGGAAAAAGAAAAAAGTCAGAATCAATTCATTAAGACTCTCAAAGAGAACAAAGAGCTCTGTTTCAAAATCCGGAGTAGCCCAGTTCATTCGCTCACACTTCCGCAGTCCTGCGTCTGCCCTGGACCTCTACAGCACCGGCACCTGCCCCCAAGCAGCATTCTGCTGGGGGGGGGGGGGCCTCGGCCCCTCCGGCAATCCCCAGTCAGGCTCGGATCTCGTGATCTTCAGGTTGACACCCTGCAGCTCAGCGGCTATGCCGCCATTATCCTCACACCAGTCCGCAGGCTCAGCCCGCAGATCTGAGGTCTGCTCAGAGTGCGCTCTTGGTAGTTCCTGCAGCCCAGTTCCAAGAGATGTGTGCGTGCCAAGGCCTCCTGCGCCCGCACGCGACCCAAGCAGGGCAGCTACATTCCGTTGAATTCAGGCGCCACCCGAGATAATGTCGGTCCCAGCTTCCGGGCTCAGCCTCCCAGGACTGTTCTCCACAAGCCCATGTTTCTGCCCAGCTGGTAAACAATCAAGGGTCCCTGATGCCCTCCTCGAACTGCATAGCCCAGATTATTTGTGCTTCTGAAGGAACAGCTATACACCAGAGCTGGGACACGCACCTCAAGCTTGACTGATCCCCTGGAAAGGCACACAGAACTCAGGGAAGCCGTTTACTCCCGGATCACTGACTTGTCGCAAAGGGTCCTGAAGGACAGCACTCAAAGGCCACCGACGGGCAGAGGACGGGGCCTGTCTTTCTCTGTCTTCTTGGGTTCGCCACCCGAAGCTCTCTGGGCCCTTCCTTTTGTGTTGGTATCAACACTGGCAGAGTGACTGAGTCACTGGCCACGGGCAAATGAACTCCATCTCTAGCCCCTCTCCCCTCCAAGAGAATCAGGGAATGGGAAAGTTCCACTCTCTAATGATTGTTTCTCTGGCAACCGACATCTCTAGGTATTTTCCCAAAGTTTCCTTCCTAACGTAACGAGCATACCTCAAACAATCTCAATATTCAATTCCAAGGGGAGATATGAGACTGAACTGTGGGTGAAGAACTAGAATGCGTATATCTGGTCATCTGATAATGACCACTCAAGATAACCACACCTACACAGCCTATAAATCAAAGTACCACAGAAAGAAGAAAAAGAGGTCTGATACAGAATATTCTTCAGAGTGGAACAAATATGGCAAATGCGTAAGTTAATAATTTGCAATCTGTGTCACTGTAGCTACTGCAGGGCACTGAAGGCAGCAGCTACTTGTCCCACTCCAGGGAAGCCTTAATGCTGGGTGCCACCCCGGAATCCTAAGCCCATCTGGGCGCTTGGAAGCCCCCAAAATACCTACGGTGGGCACCAGGATACTCCGCTGAGGAATGTCTCTAGCTCGGCATTTTGAGTGACACACTAAAGTCTGACTTTCCAATGTTCTTCCGGTCTCTACAATCCCTGTACATCAGGACCTGGAAACTAGGGGTGTGTCCCACTTGGGTTAGGGCTGGAAGTGCGGCCCGAGGACACCACCCTTCACCTTCTCACCATCCACTTGCAGCACAGGGACCACCTGCCGCAAACCCTGATCCAGGAACACTGCCTGGGTGGCAACTTTCTTCCAGGAAATGCCTTACTCTTGCCCATCTAAAAAAAAAATCATGACTTGCCTTTACCCAAGGCCCTCACGTCATAACCTTGAGCTGGGCAAAGGGGTGCCCAAGAGAGCCCCACCACACATGGTCCCGCCACAGCAAGGAATCAGCCAAGAGAAGGCAGCGTCCAGAGAAACACTCTAAAACAGTTTCCTACCTGACTAATTATAAAACTAAGTGCTATGCCTGAAGTAAACTTAGATTTTGCAAGTTTTAAGGGATTTATTTATACAATCACTCAGATAGTCAAGCTATCAAAACCTTATGTTCTCTACTTATTCTAAAAATCTGCTTTAGCCTCAGAAAGCATCTTTCCTTTCTCTGATAGTAAAATCTGCGCTCAGAAAATAAGATGGCAGTTCTATCTGGCAAGACTGCTGTGAGGCCTGAATCCAAAGTTTTCAGGCATTGACGAAGAGCTGGCTACCAGCACTGAACGGAAGAGCCCTCGCAGGCAGAGCTAGGCTGAACTGACCCAGCTGCAAGTGTCTGTGACAGAATCACAGTTGATAAAGTGTTTTGGAAGACACTCACAGTGTCTTAAAGATAGCCTCACAGGAGCGGGAGGATTCAGTTCAGCTCTCTGACTAGCGGACCATTCTGCAAACCTTAATAATGGTCCTGTCACCAGAAAGACAGATACTTTGTCCTGGCCTTCTAATCAGCTGCATGTGGTAGCCAACATTCATCTTTTACAATAAAATGCCACCTCTGAGTTTCTATTCCTATCAAAGCATCACTGGTTTGGACAACAGATAAATTAGAATCTACAGTTAACAAATCTACTTGTCTCAGACCCAAGACAATTAATTAAACTTATCTTAAGGAAGCAGAATTGCCTCTGGTCACCTGGAGCCAAGCCTGAAGCCCTCATGTCACTGTGGCACAGCGAACGGCCATGACCTGAAGAGCGGCCATGTCCCTGCCAGCGGTGCACCGCACAGAAAGTGACCGTCCCATCAGAACAATGTCCAAAGTCAGCTGAATCTTCAACAGTGAGGCCGATTTTTCTCTAAAATAAGGATGGTGACGGCTTCCTTAATGAGAAACCCAATAAAGGCAGGGCAAGAGTTCATTGTGTGGACCTGTTGCTCATCTAGGACTTCAGCAGATTATTCTGCAGGGCTGACAGGTCACTGACATCTGTGTTTGCCCAAGATTCTTGTTTATTTCACATATGAAAAATGCTGTCAAGGCAACTACAATCCAGACAACTTCTGCTATGGAGCCTGTCCCTTCCTGACTTCATTAAGCTCTGTGGGGAAGAAAGCTGTCATTCCAGGCCCATACTAAGACTGAATGACTAAGAAGGCAAAGAGTTTCTGGAAACAGAGCCCATAAAAGGGCCCCTCAGCAATTACCAATTTTGTTAAAAGAATAAGAACTAAACAAAGATCAAAATCACCTGGGAAAGATAGAAACATCTTCAATAGTACCATATGTTTGGCATTATTATGGTAATTTCAAAACAGTCACAAAGTCAAGACCTGAAAATATCTGGTACTTGGCCATACTGAGTCATCATAAAGGACAGTCTTTAACAAGTAAACTTTGTTCTTACACAGACTTCAAGAAAGGCAAGACAATTAAAAAAAAATCCACTTCAATTAAAAGGAAGGGAGAAACAGAGAAAAGGAGAAACAAGCAAAAGCTATGGCTACTGTTGTAGATTAAACATGGCCACAAAATCTTGCAACAATTCCATTAAAGAATTGGAATTTAAAAAAAAAAAAGAATTGGAATTCATTTCCCCACTCCTTGAATCTGAGCTAGACTATTTTCTCACTTTGACAAAAGAATGCAGCAAGAATGAAAATGTGCAGTTTCTGAACCCAGACCTTATGAGATTTTTCAACTTCTACTCACCTTAGTGAAACCTAGCCAGTGTGCACCGAAGCCAAGAGCAGCCCCGTGTTTACCCTGCACGCAGGTCTAGTGCAATGCAGGACGAGTGAGTGAGCGCACAGGTCCAACTCGGTCCCAGCCAGTCTGCCAAGTGATCACAAGAGTGAGCTGAGCAGAGACGAGCAGAATAAATGCAAGCTGCTGCAGACGAGCCCTGCCTGACTCCCCCCATTTAATCATAAGCAAATAAATAGTTGTTTTAAGTCACTAAGATCTGGGATGGTTTGGCCTACAGCAATAGAAAACAGAAATATCCACAATTGGTTGAGGTAAGTTAAACCATCAACAGTGATGCACTAAGAATCACCACGTGCATTCCTACAGCGTAAAGAAACTAGAAGAATCTCTAGAGAATAATGTACAGGGCCACCTTCCACTGGTAATGTGTTAATAACAGGACTCTTTCTGAGCAATGTGTCATTAGGTGATTGTGTGATTCTATAAACATCATGGAATATAATTACAAAAGCCTAGATGATAAAGCCTACTGCACACCTAGGCTGGTATGGCACAGCCTACTGGTACTACTATTGTATAGGCATCATTGACCATAACATCATTAAGTGACGCATAACACTGCCAGATTATCCCAGCAAAACATTCACATTTACTAATATCTTCCTACGTCTATCCCATGTGAATGTGTGCAAAAATATGTATTACACAAAGGGCTCATATCCAAAATATGCAAAAAATTTCTACAAAGCATTAAGAAAAAGACAAGCCAATTTTTAAAATGGGTAAGAGGGCTTCCCTGGTGGCATGAGGGGTTAAGCCTCAGCATGAAGCTATCAGCAGTCAGACAGCACTGCAGCACAGTTTGATCCCTGGCCACAGAGCTGACCCACATGGCACAGCGCAGCTCTCCTACCTCGCCTACTGCTCCCCTCAGTAGTGTATTTCAGTAAAGCTGTCTGTTCTGCTCCCCACTTTGTTTCTGGTGAATCCTCTCAACCCCCAACCCCGCACCTCTGCCCTACACCCCAGTTCCTGTACGCATAAATAAAATTAATCTTTAAAAAACTAGTAGAGATGGAATAGGCACGTCACAAAAGAAAACACATAAAAGGCCAACATGGCTATGAAAATATATCCCATGTCAGTAGCATCAGGGAAATAATAAAACCACAAAAAGATATCATTACAGTCCCAACAGATTAGCTAAAATTAAAAGGATTGACAATGCTAAGCATAGTCAAACATACAGCACAATCACAACTCTCATCATTGCTAGCAAGACAACGAATTAACACACCACTCTGTAGAGTTGGTAGTACTTAAACATACATCCATCCTATGAACTAGCAACTCCCATTTGGGTATATAATCAATAGAACTCAGTGCTTACATCTACGAAAATACATACACAAAAACACTCATAGCAATATTAGTCATAACAGTCCAAAGCTGGAACCCATGGAAACCACTCAGTAGAAAAACT